TATATGGCCTACAAAGTCTAATATGTGTCCCGAAATGGCGTTCAATGTTGTGGGTCCATCCACTGCAGCCTGGTTAACCTACCAGACCTTGGCTTTGAGAGAGAGAGAGAGAGAGAGAGAGAGAGAGAGTCTGTAGTTGGAAAGACTCTAATAGAAGAGAGATTAACAAGACAGAAAAAGCAATTTTATTAGCATGTGCAATGCTTGACTCAGGAGAAAAAAGCAACTCCAAGCAGTGGCGTTAGGAATATGTCCGCCGCAGCACTTCAAACAAGAGATGATGATAGAGAAAGGCTAAGAAATTCCAGAAGTGGGAAGATGTTAAGAAAATGAATGTGTGTGAGGATACCACCTTAACCTGGTCAAAAGCCCATGGCTGGGAAGGTTACAGGGCATAGTATGAACATGAAGTTCTCACCAACGAAAAGATGCAGATTTATAAGTAGTTTAATAAGCAGGGAGAAAGCCATGTTTTCTTTAAGTGCCACCACCGACAAAGTGCCCATGCTCCTGTAAATAATTCCACACCCATGTTTCTATCAGGAATCCTAATAATACTGACTGGGCCACCATAAATAAAATAAATGAATAAATAAATAAGAGGAAAAAAGAGACATGAAAGTAGGATGGCTGAGGAGGGATCGGTGATGCAGGGCAAGAAGGTAATGGGAACTGGGGGATGAATATGACAACGATGACAGACACGCATGGAAGTGACAGTGAAACCAACTGTAGATGCTAAAAAAATATTTCAGGGGCTGGAGAGATGCTCAGCAGTTCAGAGCACTGGGCGCTCTTGCACAGGACCTGGGTTCAGTTCCCAGCACCCAATGGTGGCTCACAAAGGTCTGTAACTCCAGTTCCAGGGGATCCAACACCCTCTTCTCACCTGTGTGTACTTCATGGCACAGGTGCATGCATGGCACATGCATGCAGGCAATATACTCGTACACATAAAAGCAAGCAAGTAAATAGGTTTTAAAATTCATATGAAAAAAGTCTTCCCCAGAGGGTCATCTTTGAGCTGATGAACAAGCTTTGCAGAGTTTACAACCGGCCTTCAGGGAAGCAAAGAAAGGAGGGAGGGTGAAGAAGGGCAGGTTAGAGTCTTGGAGAATCTCTTCCTTGCATCTAGGCTCATAGAAAAGGCAGGCTCTGCATTCTGATGGACTACAGCTCAAGAGCTCTTCATCTGGCTTCCTTCACCATCTTCACCACCTACTATCTTCCGAGTAACTTTAAAGTCACAGTTTTTATTATCGGCTTGACTGGATTGAAACACCCAGATTGACAGTGTGCACTTCTGGGCTGTGTCTATAAGGCCCTTTCTAGAGGGGAGTAACTAAAGGAGAAGACACTCCCTGAATGTAGGTGACACCACCCAACAGCCTGGAGCCTCAGGTGGAATAAAAAGGGAAGGAGGTGGCACAGAGGTATAGACATTCTCCTTGCTTCCTGGCAGGCCTGGGATGAGCAGCTTGGCTCTACCATATGTTCCCAACACGATGTTCTACTTTACACAGGCCCAGAAATAGGGAAGCCAAGTGGCCACAGATCAACACCACTGAAATCATGACATAAAATAAACCCCTTCTCACTGGGCGTGGTGGCTCATGCCTTTAATCCCAGCACTCGGGAGGAAGAGGCAGGCAGATCTCTGTGAGTTCAAGGCCAGCCTGGTCTACACGGTAAGTTCCAGGACAGATGGAGCTACAGGGAGACACTGTCTCAAAAAGACCCCCCCCAAAAAAAAACCCTTCTCTCCGGGATTTGTCACAGCAATGAAAACTGACCATAGCCACACAGGGCTATAACTACCTTCACTGTTCTGTTCCCTCCTTCTGATACATCTCAGTGTGAACAAATCCTATTTCTCTAAGACTTGGAAGTCACCAGTCACCGTGGCTAACAAATATGAGTACCTACAACATCCCCAGCTAAGAACCCAAGCAGTGCAGACCACAGGGCAGCTGCCCTCCAGGAGTTGCTACTGAGATGGAGGGCATCAGCCTTACTGTCCTTTGAAATTCAGGTTCGTAATTATTGCTATTGTGCTCAGCAATATGTTCTTTTTCAAAAAATATTTTATTTTTCTTTTATGTGTATGCATGTATTGCCTGCACATAGGTAAGTGCACCTGTGTCATGCAATGCCTGTGGACATCAGAAGAGGCTGTCGGATCCCCTGGAACTGGAGTTACAGACAGTTGTTAGCTGCCATGTGGGTGCTGGGATTCAAACTTGGGTCTTCCGCAAGAACAGAACAGCCAGTGTTCTTAACCACTTGAGTTATCTCTCCAGCCCCGACACTATATTCTTGTTTGATTGCTTCTGCAACATCAAAACTCCATGAATCACCAAAGTTTAGAGCGTCCTGATTCTCCAATTTCCCCTCGCCTGCTGTTAGAAGACAATAAGGAGTCATTTTACAGCAGAAAGTAATAAAAGGTACATTTTGGCCAAATACTGTGAGCTTGGTAAAATAAGAGCATAGACACTCTAATTATTTAATCTTGTTTGCTTTATTTTGAATTCCTAAAGTTCACAAAAGCTTACAGTATGTTTCCCCACATTGATCATCAAGGCTTTATGGTAAGACAATGAAAATGTTATCACACCAATTAGGTGTACTAAAAAGAATGGGTCATTTACAAAGATGGCTCTTTAATCAAGGTCATTTTACAAAATACAAAGTCTAGTACACATCTGAATTTATCTGCCCTAAAATGAAACTTTAAAAGGCATTTTATAAAGCAAAAACCAAGTGAACACTTAACACTGACAAGCCTAGCAGAATAATGCTGATGGCATATCAACAGCTTTAAGTGCGGACTGTAACCTGAGGGACGAGGAAGAGATCATCTGTTGAACCTACATCTAAATGCATCTATCAGTAAGATTCTCTTTTTAATGGATTTCTACCAAATGAATATACCTCTGGTAATTTCTGAAATATTACATGTAAACTTGTTAACATCTTGATTAAACTGAATTCTGGGATTAAAATGTTTAAGAAAAGAAAAATAGTGGAAGGAAAAATAGCATCAGTACCTTCTTCAGGCTTTCTAAAGTGACTGGCAATTAAATCACTGTCTACATTAAGGAAGAGCATGTCTTAGAATATATGTATAGACTCTCAATGCCAAGAATAAAAAATTCATATTCTCTCTTAGGAAACTTAAAAAAAAATGTCCTCAATTAAGTTTTTAATTTGCAGAATGGCATAATACATATTTTCCCATATTCATTAGATGAATCATTAAAATCATTTATACTGCTATTTCTACTTTTAATATCATCTGTATATCCTTTGGGTTACCACTGCAGATAGTGCAGACAGACACCATGAAAAGTAATGACAGGCATGGTGGCTCACACTTGTACTCCTAACCCTCAGGAAGCTGAGGCAGGAGACTCATGGGTTAAAGGCCAGTATGGGCCAGGCTATATGGAAAGCTTGAGGCCAGTCTGGGCTACATAGTAAGGCTCTGTCTCAAAAAAAAACTAAATAGTAAAAAAAGACAAAAGTGAATGGAAGTGAAAAAAGCATGCTAGGAGTGGTGGCACACACCTTTCACATCCCTTTAACTGGGAAGGCAGAGGCAGGGGAGCTTTATGAGTTCCAGGCCCACCTGGTCTACACTGAAAGACCCTGTCTTATTAAACAAAGAATACCAAAAGCAAGAACAAAACAAAAACAAACCCAAACAAACCAGCGAGGATGGGGGCTAATGAGATGGTGCAGTAATGGAAACCATGATTCTTAAGGGAACTAATGCCCAGATGATGTGTTTGAGTTCATGTCACTGTGCCAATGGAAGAAGCCTGAAGTGAGTAGGCCGCCCAGGGGCCCTTGTGACTGGCTTGCTGTGGCTGCGGAACGCTGGCCTCCTGCATTTCTGCTTTGCTTCTTTCTAGATAGAACTTATGAGAAGCTGAGATTCTCTAAAAGTCCACATAACAAAGAGCTCAGATTACAGAAGTGAACAGAACACCATGTAAATGGCTTGCCATGGACATGTCACCAGCTCTCTTTTGTTAATGGAGTGGGGCCTACTGAAAAACAACACTCCAATGCTTTCGTGTATTGCGTTTTTTCCTCTATGCTCAGATTGAAAATGTCCCACGTGCTCATCTCAGATGACCCTTCTACTGCTCGGATCTACGCCACTGCCTAGACCTGCACACGGAGACGGCAGCCAGAGGCTGAGGCACACTTTAGCAGAAGAGTGCACCGAGCTCACTCACTGTGTGGGAAGATCTTACCCTAACATGCCCTTTAGAGAGTTTAAGTGCTTTTTTAAATAACTGAGTAAGAATTATTCTCTAATATACCGAAGTTCTAAATCATGAAGGCAGTACACTCTGACATTAACAGTTACAAATGGAAATAAAGCAAGCAGCAAGCCAATTAAATCGAAATTGGAAACCATTTTCAAATGATATCGTTCTCTGTGAGATCAGACTTCTCATGTTAGGTGGATGCTCTCTAACCACATTACACTCACATGACCAGATGATCACACACTATGGAAGACCACAGAACACAGCTGAGTTCAGAAAGCTCCCCAAAACTGCTCTTTCAAACCCTAAAAAATTAACTGACCACTATTTTTTGGAGGGTGTGTGAGTATGGGCCAGAAGATTCTATATGTAGGAAAAAAATGTGAATTAATATATTTTAAAGACTGTTTTAGACATCTATTTGACACTGGAAATGTAGTCAGCTATCATAAAGTATTTCTTCTCTTCATCACAAAATAGTAAGGATTTACATAATCCAATGGGCATAAAATCTAGAAACATTTTTATTTTGTTGGCTTGGGCACTAACTCTTCTAAAAAGGCTCTCCAAAATCTTGAGTAGAACTATCATACTCCGCAATGAAATGCTCGAGTTCTTCAACACACCGCTCACCTATTTCATGCAAGTTCTGCCTCAGCGCAAACTGTATAGATTTTTCTAAGGAAGGATCTTTCTCAATCAGCATTTTCACCACCATCCCGAAAGTTTCACAGTCTTGTCGGTAAACCTAGAACGGTGAAATACATTCTGGTTAGCTGAGTGAAAACAATTAGTCAAACACTTGGCTGACTAGGCAGGCCACCTCCCGGTGCCGACATTAGGAGGGTGTCGCAGTAGCACAGCCCAAACCTCTATCTGGAATATTCGCTCACAACCGAATGAGCACAAAAACTCTGACGTCCCCATGTCTGAGGAGGGGCTGGGCAGGTTCTGAAGTAAGGCAGTCTGCTCATGTTAGATCAGAGGCCAGAGGAAGGAAGAGCAAAAGCAGGCAAGTCGCACCAAAGGTTTCCTTCGCTTGTTAAGTGGGAAAAAATTCCTGAGCCTCTAACTTTAGATTCTTTGAATCACAATCAGGTGACAAATTCAAAACTATTTGTAATACAAGAAGCTGTAAGAAGGCTGAAGAGATAGTTACAAACATTTAACCAAAGACATCAAAACAAAATTCAGATCAAAACAAGATTATGCACATGCACACAAAGGTGTGTGCATTACATACATTTACATATAAACACATGTAAATGTGCATATATTTCTATTTAATGTGTATATTTTACTATTTTATTTCAAAACGTATGACTTTTATCACTGGCAATTAGCTGTTTACTGTCTAAAAACTATATTTCTTCTGCACTAAATGTCATGTCCTTAATTTTTGTGGTCACAAAATGTATTTTTTAGATTTCTATGCTATTTTTTATACTTAGATATTCATATATTTAAGGAATGTACTGTTGAGTGTCTACAAAGTTTATGTGAATTAAAAATGATCTGATTTAAAAGACCTATTTTTATATTTCTAATGTAACAATAAAAACTAGCTTACCATTATTCTCCAAAAACATGATTTTATTCATTCTGAAATTCTTTACAAATAAGATAAGATGCTGATAGGCTTATGATACTTTTTAGAATTTCATTTGCTAAATTTTACTAAATTCATTTCTGTTGGGGTAAAAATAAATCACAAAGCTGCCGTGGTATGGGCATGTGATGCCAGTACTATGAGGTTGGGTCAGTAGGACTGCTACTAGTTTGAGGCCAGTCTGAGCTAAGTGAGTTCAAGGCCAGCGTGAGCAAAACCATAACCGTCAAAAAAACCAAAAACAAACAGAAAGGAAGAGAGAGAATGAGGGAGGGAAGGAAAGGAGGAAGGAGGGGAGGTGAAGGGAAAGCCCTGGATTCACAAAGTCTCAAGGAAATTTAAAATATATATTTTTGTTTGGTTTTGGTTTTAGTTTTTTGAGACAAGGTTTCCCTATACCCCTCGCTGGCCTATCAGTATGTATACCTGGCTGGCACAAAAATCCATCTGCCTCTGCCTCCCTAGTGCCGGAACCACAGGAGTGCACTGCCTGGTTTATACATTCTACAAATGATGCAAAGTAGGATAAGTAAAACTCTTAGCTGGGTCCCAGCAGGATGGCTCAGCAGATAAACAAACATTTTGACAACCCTGACAACCTGAGTGAGCTTCAACCCTAAGAAGAATCAACTTCCAAAATTTGTCTTCTGACTGCCACATCCACATGTACCCACTCACACTAAATTAATGTGCTAAAACCCCTAGCTGCTTTGCCAGCAATATTATACAAACACAAACACAATTTTCTAATGTGATAAAATTCACTTATAATACCCATCAAGTTCAAGTCAATCATTTATTCCAGTTTATCCTGAAGCTTACAAGACACGGAACTGGTCTTAGCTCTTACAAACAAGTCAGAAGCAGTATACTATTCACACACGAGACACATGATGTCAAGGCAACAGAACACATTCTTTTTTAAAAAAAATATTTTATTTATTATTTTATGTGTATGTGTGTATCACCTGCATGTAGGTAAGTGCACCCGTGTCGAGCAATGCCCCTGGAGGACAGAAGAGGCCATTGGATCCCCTGGAACTGGAGTTGCAGACAGTTGTTAGCTGCCATGTGGGTGCTGGGATTCAAACCTGGGTCTTCTGCAAGAACAACCAGTGTTCTTAACTGCTGAGCCATCTCTCCAGCTCCACAACAGAACACATTCTGACTGGTCTGACAAGCACATGCTTCCTAAGAAGCCAGTACAGTCCCCAAGGGCAAGTAGAGCACAGCTGTTCAGATGTAGGACTGGTCAGTGCCCACCAGCACACATAATAACGGCATTTTAACAGCAACCACAGGCCTGAGCAGACGGCTTTGTGGGTGGCCTAGATTTACCAGCTTTTTAAAAATAACAGATGTGCTAGATGAGGATAATGTTACACTGAACTGACCTACAAATTCTCTCTCTAATGTCAGTCTATTTCTTACTCAAACCGTATTCTTTATTTAGCACACTAACAGAACATAATTATGTTACATATTTGCATATGAAAAAGGCATCAGGAAACTCTAATACACTTATTGAAGCTTGATCTACTGTCACTCTAGTTTTAAGATACAGTTTTGTTTAGTTTATATTTTGATTTAAATCTTTTTGTAAGTATTCACTGGAAATACAAAAATGTTTGTGCATTTCTGACAAGAATTCAAACTACTGAAAGCAACATAATTCTCGACTAAAGGGAAACTTTTCTGAAGACTGACTAAAATGCCCTAGTTGGACATTAGATAGGAAACAGTTTTTGTTATAGGAAGACCTCGCCCTATAACATTTTATAAATACAACTCAAAATTGTCAGAAACCTACTTCTGAAGTCTGTTCCACAGTGGCTCCGTCCCCAACAGGAAGTATGTAGTTATCTGTAGCAGTTTGTTTGCTTATGGTCCCTGGCTGGAAATGCATGAATGACCTTCAGATCTACTATCGACAGGCCACACAGGAAGAGTGTGGTGCTGTTACTGTTGAGCTTATATCTCATCCAAATAGGAAGCAGGTCAAAGTACGGGTGGGGCTAACACTAACTGGGACAGTTACACTTGTCAGTGATTTGAAAACACCATTCAAACCTGGTTTCTCTGGGTCCTTTATTATACAGCAGTCAGTGTTCACAGTCACACTCACACACAGTACTCGTAGGAATAAAGGGTATGCTACAGCAAACTGCACAGGATTCCGACCAGCAATTATGCTATCGGAGGAACAGACGGAGCATTTTGGCAAAACAAACTCAAAGGCAAGTGTGCTGTATTTAAAGCTGTTTGCCGAGCTGGGGAGGGAACTGAGCCACAAAGTCCAGCACTGAAATAAGAAAATAAACAAAACACCTCTGAAATATGCTATTTTACTCTTACCTCTGATTCACTGGAAAAAAGAAAAGCATAAAATTGTGGCAAGGTAAGCTGCCACTAACACATCCCAGTTCTGGAGGAGCAGTCAGGGGGCTGCTGGAAGTCAGTGTCTGAGAATAGCCTCAGCACCCACTTACAGTACCAGTGAGAATATCATTTCCTCTGCTGTTGCTGCCCTCGTTCCATATAATTGATCAACTCATTTGATCAAGACATCCCACGTCCTGTTTCAGGAGAGTCACATCTTAGCGACAGAGAGATGAGCACAGAGGATTAAATTCCACATAGATGAGACAGAAGGTTCTAAGAGGAGGCTTATGAGTTTGAACTCTAACTCTGCTGTTGCAGGTCAAACAATGCCTTCAACAGTAAGGAAAGGTGGTAAGGCAAGCAGGAGCTGACAATCTCTGGCAACTGGGAAGCGCAAGACAGGATTCCTCCTCACCCCAGGACAGTACAGCCTGCAAGACACCCAGACCTGGAGCCCAGGAAACCAGGCTGACAAGAAAGGCCAAATAGACCATATTACAGTCAAAAATACAACTTAACAAACTTCAAAGAATAAATACAGTATGCACCCAGACAAAAAGAGAAATTAAGAGTTAGCTGAAGGGCAGTTGGGAGACCCCCAAATATTTGTGGAGATTAAAAAACATACTTTTAGGGACATATCAGCTATTGTTAAGCAGTAAGTTTTTTGTTTTCTTATAGGGGAGACCAAATCCAGGGTCTTGCCCGTGTCAGGCAAGTACTACCTGTCACTGAGTTATTTCTTTAGCCCAACAACATACTTAAAAATAGCACATGGGTCAAAGAAGTCTCAAGGGAAAATTTAAAATATTCTGAATTATATGAAAATAAAATGTCAAAATCTGAAGGGCAGCCAAAAAACCAGTATTTAGAGAAAAATTAATCAAATATGTATTAAAAGACAAAAGATTAATAATTTAAGACACTAGAAGAACAAATAAAATTTAAAGCAAGAAGGAAAAAATTTTTAATTATAACAGAAAAATAAAATTAAAACAGGAAATCAAGGGCAGGGGAGACGGCTCAGGCGGTGAGGTGGTTGTCACGGAAACATGAGGGCTTGAGTTCGAACCCAAGCCCATATAAAAAGCTGGTGCAGTAGAATACACCTGTAAGATCAGCACTGGAGGATCCCTGGGGCTCACTGGCCAGTCAGTCTAGCTAGATTGGTGCCTTCTAGGTCCAAATAAGAGAGAGACCCTGCCTCAAGAAATGAAGTACAGGGACTGGAGACAGCTCCCAGGTTAGGAGCACATACTGCTCAAGCAGGAACTAAGCAGAAACCACTGAGATTAGAAACGCTGATTAGCAGATGCCTCTTGGGCTCATGCTCAGCAAGCCTTTCTTTGTGGCCCAGGCCCACCTGCCTAGGGATGGTGCCCCACAGTCAGCTGAGCCCTCCCACAACCATCATCAATCAAAACTCTCTCACAGAAATGGCCACAGGCCAATCTGCTCTGGGCATTTTCACAACTCAGACTTCCAGGTGACTCTAGGTTGTATCAAGCCCGACAGGAAAACCAACCAGGCCACTCAACTAGGAAAGGGTATTAGAGTGCCACAGAGTAAACAGTCCCATTCCAGAAAGGATGACTGAGGCCTTGTGTGTTGGAACATGCCCTCCAGAGGCAGAGGCAGGCAAATCTCTGTGAGTTCCAAGCCAGCCTGGTTACATAGCAAGTTCCAGGTCGGCTGGGACCATACAGTGAGACCCTGTCTCTAATAAAAGAGAGAACACTGTGGTGTGAGGGGAGCAT